AGATCCCAAGCATAAAATAACTCTGGTTACAAAATAAAGGAATGCTACAATATACTTTGTTCCCTGATTAATTATTCACTACATGAAATAGTGTAATGCATTTTTGTTTGCATCATATACAAATTATTTATTTTATTTAAATGCTTTCCAAAACTGAACAGGTTTTTTCAAACATATTGACCATATTTTTCGACCTATAGATGCAACACTTCTTCACTTCAGAAGTAAGATTTAGAATTAAGAAATAAGAAAATAAGAGAGAATCATGAATAGAAAATAAATACATGTGCTGGCTAGCAGAAGAAGGATACCTTCATAAAGTACTTTTTAAGAGAAACTGGCTCAGATTCACATTACATGTACGGAAAACTACAAAAACTCCCATAGCCAGCCTGAACTACCACTGTTCAGTGGCTATCACTCCACCACTAGTGGATTCCAATGACTGTTCGAATTTTTCACAGAAATCATCATAATTTATGATGATTGTTGTATTATTACCATTGGTACAAAATTCACTCATTATGATAATTTAATTTTAGCTTTTAAATTATAATCATAAATTACTTCTAATAAATTGAGGGATTAAAAAATGCACACTTCTTAATATTTTTACCATTTACAAAATTTAATCATAAAAAATATTTCTAACACTGGTACAAAACTTGCCCATTATAATTTAATATGATTTCCTTCATTTTGAAATATTTTTTTATTTTCTTTTAATAACAGAATCTAAGAAACTAAAGTAACATTAGTTTGAAATGCATTTATTAACCTTTTGTAAATTTCATTATTCATAAACATAAAAATTAACCTTTTGTAAATTAAAAATATTAGCTAAGTACTAATATAATAAAATATAGATGTTGGATTTTCATCCGCAGAGAACCCGTTGGCGCTTCGGGAAAGAACCCGTTGGCGCCGTTGCATGTTTACTCGCCAAGCTCCGATGAGCCGAGGCGTAAACGTGGTTTTTAGTGTATGTAAATTCAAGTTAGCAGACAATGGTAGTAAAAATTCACAGATAATAAGTGTGTAGATGTAAAACTAACAGGTTAAACGTGATATACGAAAATAAATTTGTATTAAATTCAAGTTAGCACAGAAAACAGTGTATTAAGCATAACGGGAAATAGAAATTCATTTAAAAAATAAAAATTAGTATTCTTATACTTACGTTTACGTTATACTTATATGTATTTTCTCTAATTCATATAGAATACTAATATTTCTTTTACAAGTGTCATTTTTCATTATTAAGTACTTTGCCTGTTGATTGATGTATTTCGGTAACAGCCATGCCCATGTAATAAATTAATGAATGCATGACCTTTAATATATCCATTTTACATAGTTTTAAGTATTTTTTTTTCCAAGTTACTTGCATACAGCTTAAAGCATTTTACGTTGCAACAAATACCTGTCCTTTTTCATGATATATTTCACAATACAAATAACCTTCAACAGTAATGAAATTTTCTTCAGTAGCATTGTTAAGTTAAAATTTTATTATTTTAAAATTATTTTAGGATTTGGAAACCTCATGGTTCTGCGTGCTTACAGCTGTTAATAATTAAGAACATAACGTGAACAGCATGTTACAAATTAGCATTCACCCCTCCCGCCATATTTTCTTCCTTTGATCTCGAACTGACGAGCCGAGAACCGGCATCTTTCGACGAAAACTTCTTTAATTATGCGAAAATATTTCTATCTATTCGTTGTTAAAAAATTCAGAAAAAATAACAATAAATAAGAGAAGAATAATATAAATCTCCAAATGCGAACAACGACAACCTTCGCACAAGCGAATAGGATGAATTAGCTAGGTTACCAGGTTTGAACTATTATCGCCAAAGTTGGCGATGTTTACATTTACCGGGTTCTCTGCGGAAGTGCTTCCTAAATATTAACTACTGAAAATATTAATGTTTAATACATTAATATTATATTCTGTAATTTAAAATATTAACCTTTTGTAAATTTCATTACTCATAACATAAGAATTGCTATAAATTCATTTACAGTAGTGTTTCAGAATTTATTTATCATAGCAGTTCTAGAAATGTTGAAATTAGAGAAAGACTGTTTACTCTGATCAAGAGCTTATTTTTTAGGATTGTTATTTAGTCTAGATCGGGTTTTGTTGACAATCCGCCATTTTTTTCCCGATCTTCAAAGCCGGGTCTACCTTGGCGACCTACGTTTGTCGCCAAATCAAAAAATCGCCAAAAGGACCAATACTAAAGCTGTTCCCCGAATTTCCTTATAATTAATCATACATGGTATTAAACTCTGAAATCTTAAAATTATACTTAATTGATTTAAACTGCAGTATTGTACACTGCAAAAAATATTTTAAAGCTTTGTTTAGTCTTTTTGACGTTCTTTCAATATCTTTAGTATTTGTAGTAACTAGCAAAAAGGAAGATTGCTGCTTAAGCACTAAATGCTGTCAAGATATATCAGTACAGTTGCTCACTTACTTTCCTGTCAGTTTAATGAAATTTTTATAGAACTTGAGATTAAAAAAAAAAAAAATGTGTGTTTTTTCAAAACAGTTATAAACCATAAAATTTGGACAATCATAAACTTAAAATTTTTTGTTGTTGCAAAGCACTGAATAATATGTTCCTTGGTTCTTGTTATGAGTTACATGTAAAAACGTTCAATTCTGAGAAGCAAGAAAGCAAGTCTCAATACAATTTAAAATGCCAAAAAGTGATTTTTTTTTTTTTTTTTTTTTTTTTTTTTGTGGCAAGCATGCACATATGTATATTAAAAAAAATAATAAGTTGGAGCAGAATATAATTTAATACTAAAAAAACTTTTATGTAATCAGATAGTTGCAATTAAGTTTCCATTTAAATGAGAATATTTGTTGATTTGATTTATGTGATGATAATGGATTTTCAATCTTAGTTTTGGAAGTACTTTGAAATTATGCAATGTGGATATTAGTTATAAAAATGGCTTTTTTATTTTATGTTTTCACTATTTCCTTAGAAACTGCACAGTTAAAAAGAAGAATATTTGTAAATTTTATAATATTGAAAGATGTTCAAAGACAGATCTGAATTTTACTAATTTTTTTCCCCATTAAATAGGTAATTTGTCAAGATAAGGGCTCATTATTACAAAAATTATTATCACAAGCTCATTATTACATGATTATTTTACTTCTGTTAAACTAATATATTGTTTTTTGGGAACTACTCTGATATGTGCCCTCAAAATGCCAAATTTCTCACCAAGTATTTTTGGCGAGAAACTCCACGCTGCCATATTGCTATCTAAATTTTTTGTCTACATTTCGAATTTTAAGCCTAAAATGTCTCCAAAAACACGGTTTTCGTGAATGCAAAAACCACGTTTTGAACAGACAATTTCAGCTAAAAATCCGAAACAAAAACAAAAAAATTAGATAGCAAAACCGTGAAGTTTCTAACCAAGATTATTTGACAAGAATCCATGTACACAGTGATATGTTTTAACTTAAAAAATGGCACCATCTAGGCAACGAACGAATTTACGAACTACGCACACCTCGCTTTAATAAATTAACATAACAACAATAAATTTCAAAGAATACCATGTACACAGCGTTCTGTTTCAACTTAAAAAAACATCTACGAATTGCACGATTCAGACGGTACGCACTAATCAACAAAATAACTAAAATAAATTTCAAACAATTCAAAAGTAAACAACAATAACAACAGAAATTCATACTAAAAAAACAATGAACATAACATTCTACAAAATAAGAACAAGAATAAAATAAAATGCACTTACCATTAATACTTTTTCGAACAGCAGAAATACCACTTTCATGGCGCCTTTAACATACCGCCACGTAATCACTATCGTATTTATATGACAGCCAGACACACTATCCAGAAAAATTCATACTATGGTTCACAAATAAATAAAATAACAAATAATCACAAATCCCTACTTCTATCATGCACAGCCTCTAAAAGTAATCTCCCATAACTTCTTTCCACACCTCCAAATACCCATTGCCCCTCAACAGGATGGCCACAACGATATTTCCTTATGCCGAACTTCAATTCAACAATTTTCACCATTAAATCTTTCCCCCCTAGCTTCTCAGACACAAAGCATGACGGAAACCAACGAACTCCAGCGAAAGATTTTTCAACGTCAACAGGGTTGCCATACAACACACAATCGCGCCAAAACCCAGCGCAGAACACATATCGCCACATTTGGTGAAATTAGGGCATATATCAGAGTTGTACCGTTTTCTGTGCTAACTTGAATTTAAAACAAATTTATTTTTGTATATCACATTTAATAATTTTACATCAGTATGCTTAATATGTATGAAATTTTACTTCCATATGCTTAATATATTGCTTTCTCTGTTAATTTGAAATTTAGCTCATTTATTATTTAACTTATTTTGATTATATGCACTAAATATCATGCTTATGCAGCTTACTTCCATGTGTTTTTAATATCTGATAACCTTATGCCGCTCATTGTTGACGTTGATCAACTGTTGGTGAACTTCGCGAGTAAAACTGCACCGGCGCTAATGGGTTCTTTGCCGAAGCACCAACGGGTGCTTTTGCAGGAGAAAACTCTTAATTTTTTGCTTGAGTGAAATCAGCCTAGCTTATCATAATAATTATTTGTCATCTTTCACCAGTTTTAGTCGACTCGGTATAATTTGTTGAAAAATTATTTGCCCTCATTTCAATTCCAGCCAACTCAACGTAGCTTGTAGAAAAAGTCAATAATGATGATTTTACTGCTCTATTAATTTGAAAGTTTCATGTTTCAAATTTTCAGCCTTATTTAGCTTTTCAGTACAAACTACATTTGCCAACATTTTTTCTTTCAATGGACTCATTGCTGCCTGTTGAAAAAATTAACATTGATGGATTTACTGCATCATTAAATGTCACCTGTGCCCATAACCAATGTAGCTTAATGATAGCGTTTTACAGAACAAGACAAACATTTATTGTGATAATGAATATACAGTGCACTCTACTTCTCTCTGACAAACTTACATGAAGGAACTGTGCATGCAGCAATGCAAGCAACTTGTGTGCTTCCACTAAGAGGATCAGTGGTAATTACCAACACCATCATTAGTTATGAAGAAAAAATGGCTGTTTGTTAGCAACTGTCAGGTGATGTAATTTATAACTAAAATTACATATTAATGATTTGTGCTTGATACTAGTGATTCAGTATGTATTCACTTATATTTAAAATTGATCTGTTTTCTAATATAGATGGCTCGAACACAAAGAAATAAAGCCACCATGGGTCATCTTGGATTGCTGAAAGCTCGTCTAGCCAAACTGAGGAGAGAACTTATGACACCTAAAGGTGGTGGAGGTGGACCTGGTGAAGGTTTTGATGTTGCCAAAACTGGAGATGCAAGAATTGGATTTGTTGGTAAGTTTGATATTTATTCTTTAGGTTAACTTTTATTTATAAATATGTGTATTTGATCTGTTCTGGTGTAATAGCCATTAGCTTCAAAAGGGTTAAAGTTGAAAAGGTGTTCTGTCTTAAACATTTGATTAAAAAACATAAAAAGTTAAAATTTTTGCCATTTTCGCTATTAAATGTATTTGCTGTCCCTCCCCCCTTTTTTTTTGAAAAAAAATTTATCAGAGTTTTAGTAACATTAAACATTTTACTTTTATACATAGGTTAGGGCAAAAGTCATTGCAACTATTTTTTTTCTTGAAGATACCAGTCCAGTTGGAAAATGTGACATATACAGATGAAAGGGCAAGGTCATAACTACATGTGTGGACAATGAATAGCACTGAAATATCGTAGCACTCAAATTTATTACGGTAGTATACAGGGCAATATGGCCTTCATTGTGCAAAAGAATGATAACACAATGCACATAAAGCTGACATGACAAACCTGGGCCTTAAGACCCTCAATGTAGTGCCCTGCTACTGTCACCACACGCTGCCAACAACGTGGGAGGCACTGAATACCATCAGCCTCAGCATTTGCCGCCCCATGTGTGAATCGAGTCATCTGTTGGCGCACAGCATTAGCAATGTCCTCTCGTGTTGCAAACCACCTACCATGAATTGGTTCCTTAATTTTGGGAATGAGATCAAAGTCACAGGGCGAAAGGTCAGGAGAGTACGGTGGGTGCTTCAATTCTTCCCATTCCCAACGTCGGAGTAGCTGCCATACACACTGTGCTTAATGTGGTCTTGCATTGTCTTGTCGTGCAGAATTATTGCACTGTCCACAAGATCCAGACATTTATCCCGAATGCCACGTCATACCTGTTGCACCAGGAAGTCCCTGTAGTACTGTGCGGTCACTGTTCTGCCATGAGGAATAAAGTGGCAAACAATGATTACCCTGACGTCATACGCGACGATCACCATCAATTTGACTGAGTGAAGGATACTGACGGACCTTCTCCTGCCTTGGCTATCTAGGATGGTTGCCACTCCGCGGACTGACGTTTCAGTTCTGGTTCGTATGCTCCTGGCTCCAAAATTCATCGATGGCCATTATTTGTGAACAAGAACTGATCGTCCGTTCCTGTTGCCAGCGTGGAAAGTGGTCAGGAGCATATTGCATAGCGCACCCACCTTTGAACTTCCGTCAGTGCATGCAGTACCCACTGCGAAGTGATTTTGGATAGCTGTAGCTCATTATGCAATATCCTGTTGATGGTGCGTTTCTCGATGTCATTTGCCCTCTCTAACTCGAGTAACATCCATCGTCTGTCTTCATCCATGAAGTGCTCGATGATGGCACGTGCCAAGTCGGTTCGCACACTCACCAATCTTCCCGAACGTTGCTCTTCACTGGTTGACACACGTCCTTGCTGAAACTTTCCTACCCACTGTGCTACTGTATGATATGGTAGGGATTATTCCCAAGGGCTTCTACTAATTCACTGTGACATTCCATCGCATTTCTCCCTAGGAGAATGGCTATTTTGATGTAAGTGCGCTGCTCAGCACAGGTTACTTTCATCTCGCACGACATTCACCAACTGACTGATTTCAGAGCCCTTACTACCACAGAGCCATCTGTTGTTCTGCATACACACTATGCCTACAGAACTTCCACACGACACATATACATTTTGTGATCTGTTCACATATCTACAAGAAAAAAAATAGTTGCCATGACTTTTGCCCCAACCCTCGTATTTTAGTTAAGAATATTTTTTCTAATTACTGTTACTTTTGTATGTACTTAAAAACTGTACTGTACATAAAAAAAAATACATCAGACATGTGAAAAAGAACCCAAAACCTTAGTTACTGTACCGATTCTATATGGGTGATCCATGAATCCAATGAACTGGAAGTTGATCTATCAGCACTATCCTCATCTTCAGGGCAGTTGTTTTTATTTTATTCGGCTTATAATTCCTTACTAAATGTAGTATTTCATCTCTATGTACTTCATCTTTGATATGATTTAAATCAAATTCCTCATCATTGTAAATATTATGAATACACATCAAATAGTTTTCTGGTTGCAATTTTTTAATTTCGACGTAATGTATGCTTTACACATGCGCGCATTGAAAGGAATGTTTAATAAAGTAAACAAATAAATATTAAGCTTTTTTTTTTTGTGAATTTTGATACCCTTTAGATCATAATTGCTCTTTATTTCATAAATTATGGTTTCATATTTTTAATTTTATAATTTCTGCGTGTCATCTTACCAGATTTAAATTGATGATCTATAATCCGAAAAACCCCTAATCCGGAATCGCCGAAGTCCCGACGAGTCCGGATTAAAGACTTTGTACTGAACTAAGAAGTATCGGAGCCGGACTGTGATGGAATTTAAGCTCTGAACAGATGGCAAATAAAAATGAAGTGGAAAGTCTTAACAATGTAAAAACTACCCTCTTAGAGTGCTTCTGAAATGCCACAATGTCGCAAGAAATTTTCATCAAGAGGCAGCAGAATTCGCCAGAATGCTGGTTGAGAAGTTTGTCACTACCATTGGGTAGCTCACAAGATGGAAAGAAAGAAACAATATTGTATTTAGAAAATTACTTGGTGAGAAACAAAATGCAGATTCTAATGAAGCCAATAATTGATTGGGCAAGAATTTAGCCAGATTTTTGCAAGAATACAAACCACATAAAATTTGTAACACTGATGAGACTGGTCTTCATTATCGAGCCCTACGTCAGCATACTGTAATGCTTAAAAGTGAATCATCGGCTGGCTGTAAAAAAATAAAACAATGTGTTAATGTATTAATGTATTATTAATGTGTAATATTAATGGAACAGTTAAAGAGACTTCATTATTCATCTGTGCAGGCAAAAACGCGTGTTGTCTGAAGGGCATTTGCCTGTGATTTATTTCAGCAATAAAAACAATAAAAATGCTTAAATGACAAGTGGTATTTTTAGGGATTTTTCTTACAAAGTTGGATAAAAGTCTTCAGCAAGAATAAGTGATGCTCTTGTTATGTAAGTGTGCTGCCCCATCCAGCTATTTCTCATTGAAGAATATGAAATTCCTTCTTTCTAATATAACTTCCATTCATCAGCCATTACGTCAAGATGTTATTAAAGCATTCAAGAGTCATTACAAGAAGGAAGTGGTTTAAAATGTTATTAATGAACTTTTTAAGACTGATGCAGTTTGTTCTTCTAAGGAAACTATTAGGTCGATTTCTATCTTAGATGCTGTGCATGTTATTTTAAATGAATGGGATGCAGTATCTTTGCAAAGGATTTCAAATTGTTATGAAAAAGGCCAGTTTCCATCCAAAGAAAATTTTTAGAAACTTTCAAGATGTGCCAGAAGATATACATCATGAAACCTTCCTCGAATATTTGGGAATCAATGAAAATATTCAAACTTGTTACAAAAAGAGTGATGCAGAGATCATTGAAGTTATCAGAGAAAACAAAAGAATTTGTGAAAATGAAGGTGAGCTTGAAGATGAAAATCCCGATCCTGTACCAACAGCAGCAGAGTCAAGCATCAAAAATTCTGAGAAGAATGTTGAAACTTAAAGGTGGAGGTACAGAAAGTTACAAGCAATGCCATGTCTTGGAGATCACTGTTAAAAAGCTACTAACAAGAAATATGCAACAAACTCGAATGGATAAATTTTTAAATAAAATTTGATATGCTTACGTATTGATCTGTGTAATATGTTGTAATAATTACAATTTTTCGAAAATAAGACAGCTTTTGGCATCCACGTTAAAAACTAATGAAAGTTTTATTTTAAAAAGAAGTATACGTAGCTTACATATTAAACAGCATATCGAAAAAGATTATTAATTTCAACAGCAGGACCATATTCAAAGAGAGAAAGAGGTTCAGGTATGTGACCATTTCATTCATAAAAATGTATTTAAATTTTATATAAAATAAATCTAAAAAATTTTAAAAAGAAATTTTTTTTAATAACACTTTCCCTTCCCGAAAATGTCGAACCTTGTATCTCTAACCAAAACGAAATCCTGCATATGGCCCAGCACTGCATATAAAACTTATCTGCTTTATAAAATTAAATAAGGTCAGAACAGGCATGATCATATTAAGTGGTACCCACTGTACATTAAACTGAGATTAAAAGTAGCAGTATTTAAAAATTCTGTACTGAAAAAAGAAATTATGTAAGATTAAACAGCAGACATAAAAATGGCATTTAGCATAGCAAAGAACATTTCTCCTTCGGATTACATGTTCTGACATGAATTCAATTAAATAAAAGCCTTGAGTGTTGTTGGAAACTTGGTGTTTATTAGGGTATTTTGCTCTATCCCACTAGTATGCAGCTGATTTGCGTCTGACACCCAGTGCCTGGACCAGCGAAAAGACCAGCAGGATTTACTGTGAAATATTCCAAATCCGAAATAGTGAGACTCATTACAATAAGAAAGTTCTTTTTATCAATGGTTTTTACATTATCCTAGAAGTACTCAAGAGATGGCATATGATATTCAGTGTCGTGATCAATGGAATGATTAAAATGATTTACTGTGAAATATTCTAAATCCCAAATTGTGAGATACATTACAGTAAGAGAAATGTGGGAGAGAAACTCATAAAACATGAATTGCTTAATTAACATTTTCATACTGTATTAACAATTTATTCAGCAAAGCATTTCTGCCCTTTTATGGACACCTGTATATATTACTTTTTTTGGTACTTCTATATTACCCCATCAACCGTGAAGCTGTTGCTGAGCGGCATGGTTTAGCGCCAGTTATGCATAAGTGTGACATAATAGCACATAAAATCTCTACATTCATTTGAGGGAAACTGATCATGAAGTGACTGATTCTCGATATACCATGTTTTGTTTTTATAAACAAAAATATAAATTAACTGTTATTGCTAAATTTTTTCTTCCATTTAGAAAAAATGACTAACATTTGCAATCTGCCTTCTACAGAACAATAAACATGAAATTCTGTTCAAAGTTGTGGGACTCTGTTATCAAAAAAGTCTGTATTAATGGATACAATATAGTTAGTTGAATATGGCCAACAAAATGACGGTACCTGCGGGAGAACAAAATTACGTCCAGAAAGTTTATACTCATAACATTGTGAACAGAGCTTCTGGTAAGATCAGAGAGCCTAACAAAATAGTAGAGATTGGCAAAAGCCTTTTTATTAAGCATGCCAGATACAGATTGTTTATTAAATAGACAGGTGGCAGTTCCTTTAGAATTCTGCAGGAATAATCGGCATACTTTGGCATGATTTCGAACAATTTTCTTGGTTTGATGGTATTCATCTTCCTGATTGACTCAATTACCCTTTTCTCGTCATAACTTTTGTTCATTATGTGTTTAAGGAAAAAGGAAGAACAAAATATCTGGTATACTCGTAGATTATTGGAATAGCAAAGCACACAAATGCTGTCTGTCTAAGGGCCTAAGATTTGCCTTTGTAGAGGAGTTTCTTAATCTTCTGACTGACACAGGGTTTCACTAAGAAAACCTAAATTTCCAAAAACTCCATAAGGAAGAGCTATTTTCTTGATTTTAATGCTAAAATGCCCTTCTTAATTTATACCTATATTTATGTACTTTTAATGTATTGCCTTAATTTCTTGGACAAATTTCAACAAGCGCATATATGTACATTCTTACAGACATCGCAAAAAATATTCTAGGCCTTGCCTGTCAGAGGGTTAAAGGAACTGGTTCGTGGTATGCATGGAAAAATGAAAACCAACCAGCATCCTACCTTCTCATCTGAATTTCAACCCAGGATGAACTACTAGCATAGTGTCTCATTTTGACTTCGAATATCAAAAGAATTAGCAATGGAAATGAGAGCAATCAGTTATTCAATGAAAACATCTCGTTACATCACAAACAGTTTATTTATAAATCTAATAAGGGACAACTCTAGCTTCATCATCTCAAACAACACCTCAAAAACATAAATGGCATAAGATAAATACTCATTAATTTCTTAAAATACATGTGAAATGGAACTCAAAGTCCATTTTTCTTTTTTTCTCATAAAAAGAACAAGCTCAAAATGTAAATATAAAAAACCTCCACTGTTGCCACATGTAATTTTCTGAATTACATTAAACAAAGATAATATTAGGTTGAGTTTCAACTTGACATCCTCCTACCTAAGTTAACTTTTTACCTTAAAAATTTAACTTGTAAAAGAAAATTCGAAATAATTCAGAAGTTGTAAAAGAAAGTTATAAATAGTTTATAAGTTGAGTCTGTTAGTTACTTTGGTCGTACGACCTGCTTTAGATTTTTGAATCTGAGGTTCAGGTACATGTACATCATCAGAGGCAAAATTTTTACAAGTTTTGTCTTCCACATTCTCGGTTGAAAATTTTTCAATAATGGGATTATCGTTGGATACTTCAGGTGGGTACAATCTTTGAATTGGTCTTAGCAATTGTTAACTGTACAGATTTCGAATACAGATGCTTCTCATAGTCTGTTTTCTGGAGGAGGCGTAGTACAAGTTTCTAGCTTTTTTACAGGAAATCTTCTACACACTGTGCATTGATTAGTGAGAGATCTCACAGTTTTACAAGCATTCAGAATCCAAAATCTCTCTTCATTCTATTCTGGACAGAGGCATTCCGAGCTTTTTCTCTCGCTAAAACATTGGAAGAATTGGTCCAGAAGTAAACTTCTTCACTCCATATCTCGTATAAAATTGAGGATGAAAGTCATGATGCTGTAGTAGCTGCAAGTAGTTCCAATCTCGCGATAGTAATTTCTCAGTTGGTGCCGCTCTACTCCTGGCTTGTATCAATTTAACAGAATCAAAAGTTTTTATTTGGATGAAAGTGGCCACGGCATAAGTATGCTTACTGGCATCACAGAAAATATGTACTGAAGTATTTTCACTTGCATTCCTTGAACCAAAATATCTGGGAAAATGCACTTTTTCTAAATTCATTTTTCAGCGCAATTATTTGGTGCATTTTTCTACGTAGAAGAATATGGTGTTTTTTACCACAGCAAAAGCAACCAGCTTTCAAGTTACATTCCTTAACTGAATGTCCAGATTTTAAGCATAAAAAACACGTGCGAGATTCTTGAACAACTGACTCCCTCTGACTTAAAGGTATTTTTCTTTCTTTTAGACATCTCCAGAATAACGTGAATTAGAACAGAATATGCTTTCTTATCTTATCTAATCATTATTTCCTATCTTGTTCATTTGCGGTTTTGCAGCTGAAGATGATGGTTCGGTAAAACCATCGAAACTAGTCCTGTGAAAATTTTGTAGGTATAACGCTGATTTTTGTTGTTTGACTTCTGAATTAGAATATGCTCTGTTTTGACACTTGAGATGAAGTTAGAAGATCTGTTGCACTAGGTATATTTGGAAACTTTCCACTCTCAAATTTGTTATTGATCACTTTTTTCTTTTTGGAAAAATTACTATATTTTACTTTGACTTTTGACTTTGAAGTGTTGAAACTTTGAGTGACTAGAAAAGTGTGTTCTTCAGCTTCATCTTGTAAAAATTCTAAAATACATTCTAAATCACTTTTCTCAGTTATAGTTTTACTTTAATTTGAATCATCTGGACTGACTTCTCGAACTCTACAATGAGCAGATCTGTAGCGTTCCCAAGCAACAAGAGTTTCTTCAGGTAACAATAATTCAACTGCAGGAAATAACATGACGGCATATTTTTCTCTAGTAACCATAGCTGTGGAGTTGGTAGAAAAAATGACAAACTCTGACTCCGACTCCCTCATATATATGTATGTAAACATATACACATGGGTTACAGCTTATTTTTTTTTAATATAAAAGGAGTAATAGATGCTGCAGAAAAAAATTGATAGCATAGCAAATTATTTATATTAATTAGCATTTATTGTGAAATGCAAAAACTGATATTAGTTACTTCTAAGAAACAGTATAGATTCGGCAAGATCTTCTTTGGTGGAGAGCCATAGATCCGATTTGTTAAACGTCAGAGCTGAGAATAGTCTTACCTAACTAACTTGAGTAGGAGGAAAAGCTGTTACTGTTAGAGGTACTTCTTTTAACTTTTCAGGATAGATTTTTTAGTTCTAAAAGAGTTCTCTTGCAACCACAAACATATTTCTCTATTTCTTCAAAGGCCATGTAGAAATCTTGTTTGTATTTTTTCATTTTTATATCTAAAGGCTCTTGGTTCTTTATTTTCATTCGCTTTGCCTTGGCCTTTACAATATTATTAAAAAATATTTCTCAAAGTCTAATTCATCTCTGGAAGAGGATAATAGAGACTCAATTGCAAAGTTTGCAGTTTGACTCTCCTGATTCAAATTCTCGAATTGTTTTGAGAATAATTTCATTCTTACTGAAAGCTCATATATGGCGTTCTTTGCCATTTTAATTCGTTCGTCATCCAAGAAAATCTGGTGTTTTGAATCTACATATATTGAACTCAGCAAGATCTCATTGTCTAGCAATCTAGTTTCTCTTTTCTTGAAGAAGCTCCATTTCGGGACAATTTCTTAAAGTTCTATATAATCTGGTACCATCTTCATTAATTTTCATTCCTCTAAAATGGCAGATTCTCAGTCTAGTTCGTTTGTTCACAGACGACCAGGCTTCCATCCGAAGGTGAAACCAATCGGAATTAATACCTGATCAGCGAAGGTAAAATCTACTTGTATAAACAGCAGCCACCATACTAGGTGAACTGCCAGAACAGCGACACTTATTTTGTTTCAGCCAAACTAAATTGTTTCAAAAATTAAAGAATATGTAATGATGACATCTTTGCAGTTTGCGCGACGTATGTACAAATGATATATTACATAATCAAAATTTGCATACGAGAGCTAAGCAGTTACAACTGCGTCAATCACGCATATCTGTTGGTCTTCCTTAATAGATTTCTCTTTGAGTTTATATCTAGCATTAGCCCTCTTGAAGATGCTATCTCGTATTAGCTTCTTGAAGAGTGGCGGGGATTAAGTTGTTGAGATTTCTTTGCTTTTTAGCCAGTTCTTCGTTTCCATCGATTCCAACATGTGCAGGTATCCATTGCATACTGCATGTCTTTCCCATCTGGTTGATTGTTTCTAGGTATTGGTGCATATACTGAGTGAGCCTAGAATGTCCTTGCAGTATTGCCTCTAGGGCAACTTGAGATTCGCATTAAATTACAAGTCCTCTGGCTTTATCATTATCATTTAAATCAATATAAAATCTCAGGGCCTCCTGTATTGCTCATAATTCATGTGTGAAGTTGAAAATGATGTTGCCTCATGCACCTTTGCCAATGTTGTCTCATTCATTTTATAAATGCGAGTAAAATTCTGATAGCTTTAAATTATTAAAAATATGCATAGTTTTTCCAATTTATTTAATATTAATATAAAATTAATCTTAATTAATGTATTTAAAAAATTTAAGTACACTGGTAGTAATGTATGTAAAAAAATTGCTTTCAAAGAGGTCAAAAGTAAAGTGATCCGCAAAACATTTTAATTTATAAAATTGGTCCCCACTTGAAAAAGGTTTAATTTTTATGCAATTTGAGTGAATCAGATTTTGTTTATTCTCATATCTCATCATCATCGTCATCTTATTTTTATTTAAGGTTGTCATTTCTTATTTTTTGCATAAAGTTTTTTTAAAATTTCAGTTAGAATTTTCATATTGTAAAAGTAGCTAATTTATAATATGTTTATCTTCTAAGTAATTACATTGCTGAAATATTTTTCTCTGTAGGTTTCCCATCTGTAGGAAAATCAACATTAATGAACACTCTTGCTGGTGTTTTTTCTGAAGTTGCAGCATATGAATTTACAACATTAACTACTGTACCAGGTGTTATAAAATACAAAGGGGCAAAAATACAACTTTTAGATTTACCTGGTATCATAGAAGGAGCCAAAGATGGAAAAGGTAGAGGACGACAGGTTATCGCAGGTATATACAGTTTTTGTAATTGCACTGAAATATGATACTATGCAGTTGTCATGGTACATATTTTGTACTTTTTCCCTTTTTGGCTTTGAAAAATGTTTTGATTTATTTTGGGTGTTTTTAGTTGCCAGGACATGCAGCTTAATATTCATTGTATTAGATGTGCTAAAGCCCCTTGTGCACAAGCGGCTAATAGAACATGAATTAGAAGGATTTGGGATAAGACTGAATAAAGAACCACCTGGTATTGTACTAAGAAAGAAAGATAAAGGTGGTATTAATTTGCAAGTCATGGTAAGTAATGCATTTCTCATATATTCTGGTATTTAGAAAAATAATTGCAGTGATTGAATAATGTAGGATTTTCAGGAATATCTCTGCATGAGTTGAAAATTCATTTAACCAAGCGTCATCTTTAACCATCTCAGCGTTACAGCAGGAAAATTCCGTACAGAAGGCTGCCTTCTATATTCATTACACATGAAAATTTCTGCTAACTTTTAATGTACCTGATTTCGGTTTACATGCATATTGGAAGAAAAGGAATCAAGGTACAAAATGAGAGTCATTTTTAAATTAAAATCAAGAAAATACCACTTATTCATGACATTTGAGGAACTTTGAAATTTCAGGCCTAAACCCGTAACGCTCGCTCGGATTGGTGTGTCAAGAGAATTTTATGTTGTAGAATAAAATTATTACTGAACTTTGTATAATATCCTGAAGTACTAAATACAACTGTAACAATTTACATCATTTTTAAAATACCTATCCTAAATAATGTATTTGCATTTATTTAAAGAATTGAAAATTTATGCTATTTATTATTTTTGTTAAATCTAACTTTTGGAATACCAAGTAATGTAGTATGTGCTAAAAATTATTGAAATTGGAAGGATTTAGCCACTGTGAGGCAAATATTAAATGAATTCTAAGCATTAATAATAAATTATCAAGATTAAGCATAAAATAAGTGGAGGTCATAAAATTAAAACTTGAACTAAAAAAACAATGCAATTTTTAATTAATATACGATATGATAAAAAATGTAACAGGAAGTGTGCAATATATTGATTTTGTGATTTATACTTTTATGAACACCTGCTACATGAAGAAGAACAAATAAATGAATAAAGAAACTTGCTGTAAATATGTTTATAGTTGTACTTTTTTTGTACATTCTTGCATTTAAATTCAAGGTGTTCGAGAAATAAGTGATGAAAAGGAATGCTACATATATCTGAAATTAATGTTTTTATTGTATTGTACATAACTAGAAAAATCCAAAAAGTTTTAGCACACCTGTGTGCAAACCTCATTTGTTGCTTGGGCTATGCCTAGCGGATACTGTTGTCTCATTCTACATGTTTTGAAAGCATCAGTAGTGTGACCTAGTTGTATTGTTTTTATAATTTTGGCATGCAAATCTGAAGAGGTAAAGTCCCTTTTGTGTCAATCTTTTTGATGAACAAAGCAACTTTTCGTTTTCTTTCCAGCAACATAGACAATAATATAAAAACGTTAATTTCCGATACATATATCATTCTTTTTCAACATTTTTTTCCTCACTGTAATTTGAGATGGAAAGAGGAGTACGTGTTTTGTAGCAAAACATGTATAATAAATAAATTATAGAAAATATTAAGTTTCCAAATTAGCTGTGTTCTATAGAATTTTATAATAATTATAATTTATGGATAATAATAATTCAGTAAATCTATTTATTTTAAAGGCAAGATATAGTCATTTAATATATTTTATTTAAATGAATTACCGTATTTTATATAAATTTATTAATTTTTTTATTTATTGGTATGAATATGTGTTTTTGAGCAAGTTTCTCTCTTCTAGGTTCCTCAATCAGAATTAGATTTGGATATGGTTAAAACAATCTTATCTGAATATAGAATTCATAATGCTGATGTTGTGCTGAAGTCCGACTGTACTTCTGATGAACTTATTGATGTCATTGAAGGAAACAGAATATATATACCATGTATCTATGTGTTGAACAAAATTGATCAAATTTCTATTGAGGTTTGTTAATTGCCAATGATATAAACTATTTTGCTGTATTGTGAGTTGCTGCAAAATTAGTTTCTATTATTTAATCTGTATATTTATAGAAACTGTTAAGTATTATTGAATCTATATATTTATGGAAACTGGAATGTCCCTACCAGCAGAATTGTGTAGAACTACACCATTTAGGATTAACCCCTTGCCTGTGGAATATGTTTGAGAAAAACATGGCAAAAATGGAAGGAAAAAAATTCTCTTTAATTTTGTTTGTTATTATCATCAAAGTGTTAGAAATAGATTATTTAAAAAAAAAAAATTTAATGAAATAACTACTATATTCGGTATTTTTACATATATGGGAAATGTTAATGGATTACAGTAACTTTTGCTCAAATTATAGCAAAATTAATCAAATGACATAGTTTTCAAGTTAAATATAATAAACTAATACAAGAATATTATTATTTATATCAACTATCATGAATTCCCTGTCCCTCATTCCTTTGAATTTCACAAATCCTTTATGCTATGGTATATATGAAAATATGACATGGCACATAAGCTTTCATCACAGTCTTTAATATAAACTTGTCTTGTGTTGTATCCTTGTTTCACCAGTTTTACGACAACGAGTTTCACCAGTTTTACAATTCCAGCTTTAATGAGGAAAAATGAAAAATTTTCCAGTTAATAGAATAAGTGAAAAAATGTTAAAAAGTGGTAAATTAAGGTGATTTGAGTGTTCGTTGGAATGGCAGTACACCAATCATCAGTTAATTGATGAATGGTAAAATCTGTAGTATGGTTTTAAAAGCAGAAAATATTGTCATTAAATAGTAAAGAAAGGGAGAAAGAGGCTTTAGAGAATGCAGGAATTCCAATTGAATATTTAGTAGAGATTCTTGATACAGCCATTAAAGAATTTGAACACTAGAACTTAATAACTGAAAACATATCTATATTTTCTTATTCAGTATGTCTATATAGAATATTCTTATTTAATATGTCCAATATGCTGTACCCTTATAATGATAAATAATGTCTATAAAATTAAAGAGAATGAAATTGTTTATAAAACTGATGTTGAAAGAAGTGTTAATAAAAGAAAATAATAGTTAAATTGAGCTCTTTATTTCTCTTATTAATTAATAATTTTATTTTTTGTAAATTTCATCTTCCTTAAGTTTTTAAAAGGCTTCATTATTTTACAAATAGCTATTTCTTATTTTATAATTTATACATATCATCTTGCTAGGATCTAAATGAATGACTTGAAATCAGGAATTGCTAAAGTCCTAATGATTCTAGATCTTGGACTTTGCCTTGCTTTTCTGATATATATTGCTATTATTATTATTAAATCATTATACAAATTTGATTAATATTTTAAGAACTGAATATTAGAACATATTAAGTATCTAGTCGTTGCCTATTCATTCACAAATCATGTCTGGTTGCAAAAATTTCATGTTCTTGGAAATTGTAGTTACTGTAAATACAGTTAATTTGCTTTTATTTTTTTACTTTATGTGCTTATGAAATGAATGAAGATTAACTATTGACCAACAGAGCTTTTTAAGATAACTATCTGTGTAGATAGAAAAAACAAATTTTAATTATTACTTTTAATTTAAATTAAAAATATGACATTTTTCATCTGATATAAGCAAAATTAGCATTTTTATGATATTTATACGCAACACAACAAGAGTACATTTCTCATTAGTAGTACCACTTGGTAAAAGGTGTTGTTATGTGACAAATGATTTGTTTGGTAATTGTTGTTTATGTATTTCTTATTAATGATATTGACACTTGTTTGCTAAAAATAATAAATGTGAAAGGTTATATTTATTTTCATCTTATTCTTTGATTTTTAATTATATAGTCTGTATATCTGAAGATGTTTGACTTTACTAAGCCTTTGTTTAAATATGTGTACATGCAAACTTGTTTTTGAACTTTAGGTCCAAACCTTCACAGTGTCATATGATGTTACATTAGTACCTACAGTTGTTCACATGATTTGGTGGCATTCTGTAGCTGACGTTTTGCAACAGAACTGGAAGTAAAAGATGGTTATAATCTGGTAGCATGATAGTTCCATTTCAGACACCTTAATGATAATCATATTTTTTTATATATATAAATTTAACAATATAGTGTTCTAAAGCAAGTCTCTTTTAAATGTCAAAAATCATTTGACAAAATATGATTAAACATGGCAACACAAACTGTTCGCACAGACAATATTTGCAGTGGCGGGAAACTTTCGTTAAAACCCGATATGATATGAATCACAATACAAATAGTTGAATAAACTGAATCGTGCCGTATAAAGCAAATTTAAGTCAATTTTGAGCTCTTTTGTAATGATGCTGTCACATAAGTACTCCCGGAAATTTCTGCTTTTTGTGGGTGAGGCTCCTTACTTTTCATATTTCAAGGCTGGCAGATATGACTGAATGCAACAATGATGAAATGCATGTATTTCATCGTTTAAAATGAATTCATTAAATTGTTGTAATACTTGCAAGTTTTATCTATTCATTTGTATTCTTAGTGAACAAAAAGTGTGATGTATGATTTTACATCATACTGGAAGTCTTTATGAAAACGTTTTGCAATTTCTTTTGAAATGCAACAGCATATGATTGCTATTTGTAGTTTGTCAATAAATCTTCACTGAAGTAGTGCAGTTAACAAATTTTTACCTTATGAAATTTGTAATGTTGTAAGAAGTACACATAGCGATTTCTGCAGCAATTTATAAGTTAGTAGGAACATTTAAAAAAAAAGAAGAAAAAAAAAAAAAAAAAAGATGTGTTTATATTTTTAGTCTTCTGATTTATCACATTAGAAATTTTTATATGAAATTATCTTTCCATGTATAATTTTTCTCATTTCATTAAAGTTTGTTTCATTTTTAGGAATTGGACATTATTTATCAGATACCTCATACAGTTCCTCTTTCTGCTCATCATAAATGGAATTTTGATGATCTACTAGAGAAGACGTGGGAATATTTAAAGTTGATCCGAATGTAAGGTGTTTTTCAATAGTGAGTTCTTTGATTTATTACATAAATGCATAAGTCAATCTTAAATAATTAGTGCTTTATAAGAAATAGGTGATTTGGAAGTTAATTCTAATGGTATATATAGTCTGTATTTTTATTTTGCTGGTATTTTAATTATATAACTGCTTATTTGCTTATATTTTAAAGTTAATATATTTATACTTTTTAAGGCAATTTAAAAATAATGATGCATTCAAATAACCTAATATGAAGATAATTCTTTGCATTAAAATATCTTCGTAAAAATATAATGCAATTTTCAGTATAAAATGTTTTCTTACGTATAATTATTCTTAATCAATGGTTTAATTTTCAGTCTGCTGTATTTGTATATTGTATTTGCTGTATTTATAAAAGCATAAAATAATCTCGGACATAAAGAGTTCTTTATCTGAAGTCATTTGTTTAAGAAATAATTTTTAATTAAAAAAGAATGGATATCCTCATTGCGGTAGGTAATAATGAAGAGCAGTTATTTATGTGGGTGAAAACACACAGACCAAAAGACTGTTGAAACTAAAGATACCAATGGCAATGCTGATTATTAGAATACTGACATTGATAGGATTGTACAAGTTTTATTTACAGCAGTAATTCATATGATGCAGCCAGACTTGCAAACTTCCTCAATCCTTTTTAAAAGTTACTTATGACATAACTGATGAGCATGCTGGTTGAGTTACAGCGTACACTTTTATTGCAGACAAGTCTGCAGTCATTACAGTCTGTGATTACCATAATTACAGGAATCTCCAACTGAGCAATAAATATATTTAAAAATAAAGGTGAAATCTAACAGACACATTTAATAAAATCGTTCAAGGATATTGTAAAACTTATTTTTAATTCCTTTTTGTAGTTTATATAATATTGGTCTGCTGCACTCTGTTAACTTTGCTAAGAGGATGTAATTGTTATGTATCATAATTCTTTTGGTTGTATTACAATAGTATTCAAACCAGATCAATCCATTGTCAAAATCAGGGTAAAATTAAGCACCGAATGTAAATATTTATGTGAAATCTAACCACAGATGTAAGGACAATCCAAACAATACAATTTTATAAAAATAGTGCTTTTTTAGGAAGTCTAAAAGAAATATAAAAAACAAAGTATATACTTAAGTTTCCAAATAATTTACAAGTGCAGTTATTTCAGTTGCTGGTTGTTCCATGATTAATTCCTAGTTGCACTTCACAGAATTCTACCAGTGTAGCCTTTTGATGCCAGAGGTGAGTAAACTGAATAAATGTCAGGAAAGGGATATGTGAACCTTTGAGCCAGCATTCTCTTTTTAAATATTTCTTTTTGTGAAATAACCTTTCATAGTGTGATTTTGGTTCTCTCATAATAGTAAAATACATTTTGTGATTTTCTTAACAGTCTTTTTCAAATTAATACCTTAGAAGAACTTAATTGCCAAAACAAATAATCTGTATTGATTCATTTTTTAAATTTTATTTTAAATTCTGCTTCAGCAGAAAAGTAACTAAAAATATTGAAGGGAATATTACTGGATCAATATTCATTCTTCCTGTTTATTCATAATGACAGTATATAATAGCATCTCATGAGGTAGAATGAACAGGATCCACATTTAACACTCTGACACACAGTTACAACTGACATTCCATTGGTTGGAAAATACCAATTTTGAGAATCAAGGCTTGTGAGAAATTACTAGTATCTGCTGTATTGATCACAGGTCAAATTTGGTGATGAATGATTCTGTTTTAAAAGATATAAGCATTTTCAGAAAAAAATCTATTTTATTATTAGGGCTAAAAATCATGGGGCAATAATCTTGAAATTAAACTGTGTCTTTCCAATAATAAGATGTATTATTTTGTTTATTAAAATTCAATTAGAAATTTGATGTAGAAAGTTATTAGTTCTAAGAAAATTTAGGAAATATTATAACTACTATCACAATTTGACATGCAGTTAAAGAATACTTGCTTAGTATTATGAAGGAAGGAGGAAAGACTCTAAGAAAATTTTATTATAAAGTGTTTAAAAACTAATTGGATTGGCAAAAAATTCACAAAAGTAAGATGCAGGAAGAATATGGGGAAAACCAAACAAAACTACTTATTGCTGTAATTGCAAGAATTGTGAGTACCTGAAAGATGATATATATATCAATAATAAGTAAAAAGAGAAAAGAAAGTGACTATTCCTATGCAAGTTTTTGTTTTATAAGTTTTAAAACATATTAACATGATTCAAAATTATCTTTAGCATTAATTACTTTGTCATAACGTTTCAATGAAAATTTGTCTTTTCGTTTATGAACTGTATACTTTAATCAAGATTACATGAAATAAGCACACTTATAGTTTGTTTGATTAATTTTATTAACTGAATGCTTAATTAACTGTAGTAAATATTTAGTAATAATTATAGGTATGTTTAAAAAAAAAGATAGTTTGGACCCTGATTACATTATAAACATGATTTTTCTGTTAATTTAATTTTTTCCCCTTCAGATATACCAAACCCAAAGGCCAGCTTCCTGATTATGAATCTCCTGTAATACTTTCACATGATAAATGTACTGTGGAAGATTTCTGTAACAAACTGCATAGAACGATAATGAAGGAGTTTAAATAGTATGTAGACAAAGTATTTTAATTACATCATTGTACAGTATTTTTCTATTTAAAAAAAAAATGTAGTTTTCCTTGTCTTGTATTATTGTTATGCTTAGAGCAAAAGAATTCAAAATATATATTTTTATTGCTTTAAAATAATATTTCTAGTGTGTTTATAATGAAAAAAAAAAAAGTACCTTCCAACAAAGAAGAAACACCCATTAAAAATAATAAAGAAAGAAAGAAGGAATACTTTAACAACTATTTGTAGATTTAAAAGCAAATTGCCTTTATGTTTAGGAATATGGCTTTATTTAAATTTTAAGCCTCAATAGAATTTTAGAATTGTAATGGGCAAAATAATAAAAAGTAGCTGTCTCTGAATATAGGCCATGGTTAGATTTCAAAATTGGAATAATAATGAGAAAAATTAATTATTTTATAATGGGTGTTGAAAAATATTTACTATAAAATCATTTTGACTTTTAATACAATAATTATTTAAGACCTGATTGATAAATAGGAAATCATCAGAAAGAAGCTCTTAAAATATAGGCTTTAAATTAAGGCCTTATTCTAATTTTACGTTTTAAAAATCTCTATAAAAGTTCAGCTTATATTCGAAGTAATATATGAATAAAATCCATGTGTAATCATTCTTCGATAACCATACACACTGGCTAGCTCTAAAAGTATTTATTAACTGAGTATAGAAGAAAATACAAAGAAAATGTATATCGAAATGGAACACCTAATATATAAAATTAACATTTGAGTCATGGAGACATATTATTGGAGAACCTACCCTCATCACAGCTGGAGGTCATCTGCTGTTAATTTGTTCTCATCGCCATGAGATGACATTTAATAAAATAGTTCGGTTACATCCATATAGTTTTGGATGTAATTTATTTTTATAATTTTATTCAAATCTCTTAATTGGGAATAAGAGAAACTCTATTTAAGATTTATAAATTTTTGTATACCATTATGTTGCAGTAAAAATATGAACTAGCAAGTTCAAAATGGAATTAATTAAATTCACAGTGCAGTTTAAAATTAATGTTTCTAAATCTTTCATTATTGGTACTCTACTACAACAGCTATAAAAAGCTATCTTTGAATTTTTGTATCACAACTTCTCAAAATTTTGTAGAGAAGGAAGGAAATGTCTCATTTATGAATTTTATGTTTAAACCATATAATGTGCATATATATAAAAATAATTTTTTGTCGTATAATAAAAATATTTTGAAACTTGTTGTTCTTCTTCTAAGTTCTGGTTAAAACATTCTGACAAAAATTCTACTTGTCATACGTTATTGAAATTAATAGCCAGTTTAGGCTTTTATATGAAATATTTAAAAATTAAAACAGCATCTTTAGAAAATTTGATAATCCTTGTATATAAAAATGCTGGTATGAGAGATGCAGTTGGCACCTGCATTGTGCATCGATTACTTAAAAAGCGGCCGAGCAGTAAAGTCGCTGAACACTGGTAGTTCGGTCCGAGGTTCGAATCCCGCGAACAGGCTGGCTGCATGGGCGTTTTCGTGGTTTTCCCCATGTGTAACGTGTATACGAGCCAGTTTCCCTTAGAAAGTCCTCCACGAATGCATCCCTCCCCTTAGGCAGATAGCCCTTGTGTGCTTTGCCATTATTAAATACACAAATACACACAATTACTTAAAAAATACCATACTGAGAAAAAAAAGTGTTTTATTCAGCTGGTTTAAATTGCCTTTTTTGAGTAATATAAAATCTTGTTACTTGTGTAAGAAGCATTAAATTATTACTGTAATCTTAATAAAGCAAATGCAGGTAAAAGAAATATTACAGAATTGCCTTTGAATGGATATTTGTAGATATTTTTATTGCACTGTTTATGGAATACCGAAAATTTCATCCAAGTATTAAATCCATTGTTTATTATTTTCATTCCATTAAGGGATCTAGTAAGTATGACTGATTAGGTATTATATTTTTGTGTACTTCTGTTAAAAAAAAATAATTGCTTACTAAGTGACTGACAAGGATTTTTGTATAAAATATATCTGTTTGAATGTTACAAATTAAAATTTTGTTACTTTTTTCAGTGCTTTGGTTTGGGGATCATCTGTGAAACATAATCCTCAGAAAGTTGGAAAAGATCATGTTTTGAATGATGAAGATGTGGTGCAAGTTGTTAAAAAGTAATTTTATAGATAAAATTTCTTCTTAAGTATAAGTTTTAAAATTGCAAAACACTTTACATATTCCCCCTTTGCTGTTATCTGATTTCTATTAAATGGCTTTTGTCAAATAAAACAAAAACATACGAGACAATTTCTTATTTGTAACAATATTTATTCTACTGAATAATTTTCTAAAATGCAAGCTTTTGAATGCTTGAATTGCACTTTTTAAGATTCTATGTTGTTTCATATACAATAAGCTGCAATGGTCCACTCTTATAAAAAAATGTAAATGTAATCTTTAATAGAGGCTTTAACCCTTTGATGCACAGTAACCCTGAAATCACCAATTTTCGAATTTTTTCTCTTCTTTCCGAAATTTTTGAGTGAAAATCAATTGATTACTGATCTTTTACCTCTAAATAACACAAAATGACTGCAGAATCAAACATGTTTTAAGTCTTAGTACTTCAAATCAGCTGCCTTTTAAAATTTGTTTTCAATGAGACAAAATAACTTCCTTTTATTAACATAAACAACTTTAAATTTGAAAAGTTATTCATCGCACATCATGATTTCTATCATGAACAATAAAAAATTGCAATGATTAAACTGCATATATATATAAAAAAAACTATCTATATTCATAGCTTGTGCTTTGTGGTTTCAAGGCGCGACCACTGCGCAGTGGAGCCTCTAGAGGCTCTCGATGATCACGCCTTGAAACCACTGCTCTTCACGATGGTGTTTGCTTGCTTTTCAAATAGGAATGTTTATTTTTACCTGGATATAGATAAGGGCTGTTGAAAACCACAGAGTTATTTTATTACTAAAACCTGCCCAGGGACCGTTATCTTCTCCAGAGATTTTCTCTGTCTATCAACCACCACTTGCTTCCCAAATCAAATTATATATTTTGTTAAATTTAATGTAAAATATATTTTAAATGAAATCCCAAAAGAAATTTCTAATATTTGTTTGTTCCAAATAAATAAAATAAATGGGTAATGACCAGTAAGACAAAAGACCAAGCCCACCCCTTAACATAAAAAAAAAAAAAAAAAACACAAATTTCATGCGCCAAATGAAAAGAAACTAAATATCGCTGGTCATATACCAGTGAAATTTAGAAGATCTAGGCAGGGTACATTTTGTAGCACAAGGAAGAAACCTCCTAGAACAAGATACATTTGCGAAATGTGCAATGTGGGTCTGTGCATGTACCAAAAAGACTAAACACGCTTTGAACAGTGTCACAAAAAAAAAAAAAAAAAAAAAAAAAAGAAATTAAAAAAAAAATAATAAATTTTTTTTTTTTTTCTACTTACTTTTTTTTTATCCATTTATCCAAAGTCTATATTTTCACTGATATGAAATTTTCATAAATGCTATATCTGAAAAACCTAAAGTTTTTTTACATACAATTTTTATTACGTTTACTTTAGACCAAACTAAAAAAAAAAACATATAACAATTAACATAAATTTTTTTAAAAAATTTGTAAATTTCATCATTTATTGGAAACGCGCACAGAAAAAAGTAAGTTTTTTTCCCTTACTACCTCAAAAAGTTTTAAAAGTCCTAGATGTGTGCTGGTTTCATAGTGCAACCACCACCCACAAAACGATAGGCAAGAATAGATTAAACATTAATATCTAATTAAACATTAACATATTTCACTTCAGAATCAATTAAAAATAGTTCAATAACCTGAATCATGCATTGTGAAGTTAATTTGGAGCTCTTTTGAAATGGTGCTGCGATGCAAATACCTCTTAGAAAATCTCCCCCCCCTTTTTTTTCAATTCAAGGTATGGTATGGAAACAAGCACTTATTGATAATTAATTCTCTTTTCAAGCTATTCAGTTCTTTAGCTTTATCCTCTACAATTCCTTGTACAAATGAACAATCTGCACCATGTGTAATTATTGATAATATGATTGTTGGATTTTTTTTATTTTATGTTCTTGAATTGGGAAAACAAAATATGTGTATAATAATATATAAAAGTGTTTGAAGTTATACCCCATTATTAATTTTGGGCTCCAATGCAATTTCAGTTTCACTTGTTAAAATCTGTAAATAATATTTCCTTGTTCCCCTTGAGTGAAAAAAGTTTTTATAATTTTCTTTTATAGTATAAGCTTTCTTTTGCATCCATCATAATTTGTGATTGGAGGGAATGTTTAATTATGGCATTATTTATTGACTTATATAAAAATGATCTGTGCTTGTTTTTCATGTTTGGTATTTCATATAATAAAGACAGATATAATGAAAGGTTAAGCTAGTTTTAGTCCTGCTTCCTGCAAAAATGTATTCTTTTCTCCTATAGATGCTTTTTATTTTCTAAAGTGGTGTTTAGCATTGAATATAAGATATAAATAAATACACCCATGCCCATTTGAATATATTTATTCTGTACTCATGTACCTTAATGTTGCTGCTGTTTATGTTTGCATATGACTGGAATATCACTAGAAATGATATAATTCTTTGTAGAAAGCTGTCAACAACTTCAGTTTATGTTGAAACTTCCCTTCACATTTCTCATTTGGAGCATGTTTGACAATATGATAAATTCAATTTTCTGACCAATTCCAGACCTTTTTTTACTGAAACTGCATTTAAAGTTTGATAATTTTTTTCATTATTATGACGTGCTCTGTGGTATTAAGAGTCTTAAGGACTCAGATATTTCATATTCATTTAGGGCTTTCTTAGAAATTGGTTTGGCCTGCTTGTGTTAAATGAAAATGACACTTGTGAAAGGAGAATGAAATTTGTGTTAAATAAAATTTCTGTAAAAGCCGAATTAGATGTAGATTGTTGTGCTGTTATCACCATTATGCATACTAAGGGTGATTGCTTTTTGAGATTCAGTAGCATCCTACATAAAGATTCCATATCAATAAGGTGTGTCATATTTATTAATGGCAGAAATATGGATCATCTGAATTGCTGAAGTTACCTTCTAAAATTTTGAACTGTCATTATTGAATGCAGTGCTGGACCATTTGTCACCTCAGATAGTTCTTGTGAAATAACTGCTAAATGAAGTATGGCGGTACTATGCTAATGGTACCTACAAAAGATGGCTGGCTGCAAATTTATCTATTGATCAGAAATTTTGTGCATAGATATTCTAAAGTATTAAACCTGTCATTTTTCTTGGTTAGTTAATCTGTGAACTTTGATTCAAGACCGAATAATGTGAAGTATCAACAACATGCCAGTTAAAAAAAAAATTTGGGGAAATGGGTCATTACCTCCACATTCATTTATCTTAACCTTTTGCATACGGCGCAATTTGGACACATTCTGGTTCTGAAATGTGGGGACTTTTTTTTAATATATATTCTATATCTTCATATATTACTTCTCACATCTTTATAAACAAAATTAGTATAATGTAGAAATTTTAATAGTTTTTCTTAATTTTAAAAAACATACTTACGCATGTGATTTTTACTCGATCCGTATTACAAGACAGATTTTGTGTCCTGTGGAAATTGCAGTAGCCATATGCAGAGAATTAAAAATATTTGTGCTAGTATGCATAAAATCTTACAACTCTTTGTTCAGGCAAGTATAAGTGAAAAAGCAGTTTGAGTAATGAACTCATTTTGAATTGTTATTATTGTAATAGATAATAAACAGCGTTCTTAATTTCTTGAAAAGTATTACTCTAATATATATTAATCTAATAAGATACTGACATTAAAATAATATTTATCAAAGTCTTTTATCCGGACTCGTCGGGACTTCGGCAATTCCGGATTAGTTGTTTTTCTGGATTATAGATCATCAATTTAAATCTGGTTAGATGGCATGCAGAAATTATAAAATTAAAAATATGAAACTGTAATTTATGAAATAAAAAGCAATTATGATCTAAAGAGTATCAAAATTTACAAAAAAAAAAAAACACTTAATATTTATTTGTTTATTTTATAAAACATTTCTTTCAATATAAGTTGTTTTGTTTTATGTGCTAATACTTTCTCTTTAATTCTATAAACAGACATAATTTCTTGTTCAGTTACAAAGTTCCGCTGTTCAAGTCCTGTAATTGCTGTGCTGAGAACGCCGACTAACTTGTCAATCGAAATTTTTTCATTTTCACTAACCTCTCTCTCACTTTCTTCATGCCTTTATTCATTTTGCAGCAATTCCACTTTTTGTTTGATGGACATCGGAACATGCTTTCGCTTTGTAGATCCTTTGGCAGCTTCAGAATTGGAAACTCTTTTTGACATAATCGAAAGTTCAAGCTTACTTTTTTAAAATTGCTCTTAAACAGTCTGCAAAAAATAAGCTGGACCACAAAGAATGATTAAGGACATTAATGCCAATGCACATTAACTGAAATAGATAATTAGATAATTTTAGCCTAGCTTATACCATCCATTATAAATTAAACGCGCATGCGTAAACGCATATGCGCATGTGTAAAGGTATTATGCTACGCATGCGCAGAAAGTTTGTAGCTTTGAGGTCCAGATTATAGATCATTCCAGATTATGGACATCTGGATTCAAGACTTTGTACTGTATTAATGTTACTATAAGATATTTTGTTGCATTTATGTTTTGTTGATTTTTATATTTTAGCTGTGAAAAATTATTTGTTTGAAACCATATCATTGCAAGATTTTGTTAAAAAAGTAAATGCTTGTAGAGTATGTTATTTTCTTTTGTATAAGATGCAAGTATAAAGTTTTGAAAAATAAAAATTGATGAAATGACTAGGATTATAAGAAGTAAGGAAAATATTCTGTTTTAATATATTTCTTATTTTTTACAGGATATGAAAAAGAGCTGGAATGAAATTATTGGATGAAAGCCATATATATAAACTAGCCAATAAATCATGGATATTTTTATTTTCACTTGCATTTTCTTGTCTTTTCTCTCCCTCTTATTTCACTTAAATGGGCAGCAGTGCATGTAAAAAGCTGCTTCTGAAGGCTTCATGAAATTTGATGTTTTTTCTAAAAGCCATTTCAGAATATTGAGAAAATCCAAAGGTTAAAAAAAAAAAAAAAAAAAAAAAATATGAATAGAGAGCTCAGTTAAACAAAAGTTGATTTATGTAAATTCTTGGTAATGTTTATTCTCATAAATTCAGTTTTTTTGTCTAGACATAGACATAAAATTGATTTTATTAATCACAAAAAAATAGCTTGTTATACTGAAAGGTATGCTTTTAGGGATGATTTTCAGTCTTTTAATTGCTTTATTAAATTTCACTAATGCGTACAATAAGTTTTCAATGAATTTATTTTGTTTTATCTCCACAAAATTCATTAACAGATGATATGAGTTGGTGTTAAAACTTGTATGTTTTCCCATTTTTTCGAATGTTCTGGATTAAAAATCACAAGTTTTATGTACATAAATTTGCTATATTATGCATAGACTCCAACTACTATGGATTCTCCGTAGTTTCTACGGAAATTCATGAAAAACTACGAGCTACGAAAAGTATGGAAAAAACTACGGATTTTACAGAAACAAGAGCAGGAGCGAGAACCAGTACGCAAAAACGGAACCAACTAATTCATCCGATGGATTGGCTGAATACTCGTGTTATCATATATCACGTGTTGAGTGCGTTCCTAGTTTGAAGAATTAGCCAATCGTTAGATCAGTAACTCCAACCGTTAACGACTTATCATAGTTCCACCCAATTGTCTGTCTCCCAGGTTCCTCGCTGATGCGTGTTTAGGCTGCATTCGGCTGCATTGTGTAGTTTACGGCGAGAGAGCTTAGCGTTGTTTCTTGTGAACTGTGAATCAGGTGAAGATTTTTAATCATAATGCTGCCTCGAACGAAGAAGCCAAAATTATCAAAGCAGAAGTTTAAAGATTCATATTCTTCAGAATTTCCATGCATTAAAGCGTGCGAAATTTCTGTGAATCACACACTGCAGTGTATGCAACAAAGACTTCTCAGTTGCTCATGGCGGAAAAAGATGACTGTAAACGGCATGTTTTCTCAAAAGCATATATAGAACTTGGCACGTAAAATCTAAAGAAATAAACAAATTTCTTAATAAAAGATGATGAAACAGATCCTATAAAAGCCCGAATACTATTTTTCGTTTTTTTTTTAATTGAACATAATCTACCGCTTTCTGTTCGGATCATTCCAAAGAGCTTTTCAAAGCAATGTTTCCGGATTCTGCATAGCAAAAAAATTTAGCTGCGAGTCATACCAAAAACTGCTGCTATTGTGAAACGCTTGCAGAAAACCTGTTGCTGATATTATAAAATCAGTGTGCAGTACATCATTTTCTCTAAGTACTGATGAAGTAATGATAAACAACTGTACCCATTGTTATAACATACTACGTAAAGAAAAAAGGGAGTGATAATTACTTCATTGATTTCTATTTTAGAATGCACGAATAATACAGGAGAAGTATTTTTAATTGTATAAATGAAAACTTTAAAAAACAAAGGTTTAGAATGGAAAAATGCTTATCATTTTCTTCAGGATAATGCTAGTAATATGATTGGAAAGTTTAAAGGTGTAGCATCATTTATCAAAAGGCATCAACCAAGTATAATCACGAGGTTGTCCGTGCCACCTCTTGCATTATAGCCTGCAAAAAAGCTACTGAAAAAAATTAATTGGCTCAGAAATTGAAATGTGATAATAGATATATATTTTTACTTGGAGAAAAGTTCGAAACGGAAGCATAGCTTCAAATTGCTCAACAAATTTGGGACAGAATGCAAAATCTCATAAAATTTGAAATTTGCAGTACGAGATGGTGGTCTCTTTAGAATCTATAACAAGGATTTTGGAACAGTGGGATGCTGTGATAAATTTTTTTATTTTTTTTGGAGATAAACCAGATAACAGTGAGAATGAAGGAAAGAGATTGCAAAACATTAAAAAATTTTACAGTCACCGACCACCAAATTGTACTTGTTATTTTTGAAAAATAAATAACTTTGCCTTTGTTTATAACAGTAAATATTAATTTGCAACAAACAAGCTCCTTATATACATAAATTGAGAAGAGAACTTTTTGAACTTTTAATGAATTTATTGTTAGATTCGTCAAAAACCATCAGTAATTTCTAAAGAAAATGAAGATGTTACTCAACGTCTATTCCATTTCAGAATATAGTAAACAAAAAAGAAAAAATGAAAATTTAGTGATTGGGCGGCGGAAAACAAGACTATATTTAAAAAATGCCAAGTTGAATGAAAGTGAAGTGAAATCATTTTTCAATTCTGTGCGAGCTTTTTTTGTAACTGCATGTTCATATATAATTGATAAATTTCCACTGAGTGATCCATTTCTAAAACATGCTGAAGTTGCTGACATCACTTGAGAACTGAAAGTCTCATTTTCATCTGTTCTTTACTTGATGAATACTTAAATCCATTATTGATGAAAAATGTCTTAATCAAGTAGAAATTGAATTTTCATGTATCAAGTAGATGATTTGAAAGAAATTGTAGATTTGCGTATTGATTAGCATGGGGAGAAGAAATTGCCAAATTAAAAAATATGAATGGGTGTATTAAAACAAAGTATTGCCTTCTGTAATGCTTGCTGTCTTAATAATACCTCATTCAAATGCAGCTTGCGAAAGAATTTTTTCTATTGTAAAAAAAATCAGACGGAATTTCGACCAAATTTAGGTCTTAAAACTCTTGAAGCAGTTTTGATTGAAAAAATAAATATGCAGGCAAATGAAGAACTGTGTTATAAAAAAACATTCTCAAAATCAGACTTAGCTTGCTAAGCATGCTACATATAAATCTTTGCATTCATAAATTATGCGTATTTTGTTTAATACTTATATGTATCATTCTTGGTTATTTAAATTTTATTCCCTGTAGAAATCATATCCAGAATAAAGATATGATTTATAGCTTCTGATTTTTTCTATTAGTAGTGATTTGAAGTACTTTTTATTAGTGAATGCTTGAGGAGTTAAAGAAAATTTCTAATTAAATGTGCATATAATTTACAAGGTATATTTGAATTATTCAGTTTTTATATGTATATGGATTTTAATGTAATAAAATTGATTACAATTAATATTAATTTAAAATAATGAATGGTTAATTACAACATACGCTACGCGCACATTTTCAAAGTTGTAAAAATGTCGTTCGCGCGTTGACTACTGACAAGGTTTGCTGAAGGTTGGAGTCTATGTATTATGTGTTAGAGAACATTTTTAACAGCAACAGTTTTGGGGCACAATTTCAATACTTTTCTATTTTTTTGACTTATTAAATCTTGATATATGTCATCATGTTTGCATACTTACTAATTTATTTCGTACGTTGGAATGATGAGAAACAGAAAATGAATTTTAGAGTATATAACAATATGTTACCCTAAAAATGTGTATTGGGGCATAAGGGGGTGGACTCTAAAGCATTTTTAGAGTATAGTGCTTAATTAATATGAATGTATGGCCTCTTTGAAAATGATCAGTACAAATCTTATTCAGTCATTAAATGTCATTTGACAGTGACATTTCTTTTATCAAACAGTAGTTATGTCTAGTTGATGGAGATGGAAAGCATGTCCCAGACAGGCTTTATATCGTTGATATCGAGAGGGGTATGCAGAATGTGGAAACTGTTTAAGCTCATTTGCATATTCTTCACAGCACTTTGCCAATAATTTTACAGTTCGAATTGGTCCATTGCCACTGTGATACATGCCATACCTTTCAGGATTTAAGTTTGAACAAATGAGTGAATTTTCTGTGATGTTGCAACTCAGTCAGCAATCCACTTCCATGCTTCTCTCAGGGTAATCCTGATCATTTGTTAACCTTTTCACGATGGCGCACCTTTGTTTAAGACGCTTGTGTGAGACGGAAGGGAATCGAAGGCAATCACCGTACAGGATGGAGGTTTTGCATCGCTAAGCCTAATTTTATATAAAAATAAATATAAATAAATAAATAAAATAAATCAGAAAAAAAAAAAAGTTTCGCTTCTAGCATTGTAATTTTTTCTATTCTTTTAGATTATTACTTGAGCTCTTATATATTTAAATTAGCAATTAATAACATGTTTTTTTCTTTATTTTACATGAAAATGTACTTAACTAAAAATTTCCTTATCTTGTAAAATAATTTTCGGAAGCACTATTTTTAATTATTCCAAAGTTTTAATTGATAAAATCCATCAATATAGTTTAAAATTAAGTTAATTTTAAACTAATCCATCAATTTAGTTTAAAATTAATAAAACAACACAATAAAGACTATTTACACTAAGAAGTAACAAAATTTAAAATGAAGACTGAGTCTGGTAAATCTCAAAGCACAGAGAAGTATCGCTTTCTAACTGTTAGAAAAAGTATCACTTTCTAACTCTTAGAAAATGTATCACTTTTTAACTCTTTAGAAAATAAATCATCACTCTTATCGTTAATAAATGGTGCATTAATAAATGGTTCATTGACCATACGAGGGTATTCTTCCTCTGATAAATAGCACCTTTCCGCCATAATAGACTGGAGGTGAGACTTTCCGAAATAAAATGAGCAGAAATGGAAATATATCTGAAAGGCAATGCAAAACGTAACAGTACTCCACATACTAATCCTAAAAGACCGTATATAGTAAAGGAAAAAATAGAATAAAAAAAGAAATTGGATATAAATCAGACATGCGAATGTTTTCATTAGCATGCAGCGATTTAAAGAGCTCACCTCTATTTACGCTTTCCCTCTCTTCCTCACCCTCGCAAGAGCTGATGAGTAAAATATTAAAGTCAAACAGAATAAATATATCAAACTCAAGGCCAGGAACTTAAAGCTGTATTCATTTCAAAAGTAATGGACATAGGATGCCATCTAGTGGCCTTCAGAAAAACGTTCCAGCTTAAAATGCGCATACGCATC